GCTCCGCAGCGGTGACCGGCTGCGGTGTCAAAGTTTAATCTGCAAGTGTGTAACGTTGGTTTGTAGCGCGGCCCTTGAGACAAAAGTGCTCGCCGGCGAACAGGAGTCGCAGAACAGCTGCCTGCAGCCGGGGGAGTTGCTGGAGACGTGGAGGACCTTCGGTGGGCTCTTGGCGGAGGGGCCTGGGGGGGCGGCTCTGGTTTTGATGAGTGGTGGGAGAGGATTGTTCGGAGGGGTTTTGCGTTGGTAATGGAAACTGGTGGGTTCCTGGGAAGCACCTTGCGCACTGCCTGAACGCTTGCGACAACGGAGCGCGGTGTTCTGCGGGGCATCGTCTGCAGCAAGGCTCTTCTAAAGGAAGCTAACTTGTCAGCGAGGAGCTAGCCTTGTAGCTTCCACAAAGTAAAGCTGAGACCCGTTTGAAGTTGCAGGATGCGCGTTTACAATGTGTACTTAACTGATATTTCTACAGATATTTTTCTGTTTTCATATTTTAAATAGGCCTTAGAACTATTTAGTCGTAGTCATTAAGTAGCAGGCCTTTGAAAATTCTTCATGACTTTTCTTTTTGCTTTTTTATTGGTCTCTCTGACACTTGGTCAAATCCTTCTGAAAGTCTGTCTAGACTGGAGCATAACTCTTGCTCCTACGCCAAGACAAGTAGTCTGAAAGTCTGTCTAGACTGGAGCATAACTCTTGCTCCTACTGCCAATTCCAGTCAACCTTCTGCCTCGCTGTCCAGCATTCCTTCGGTGTCTGAGCCACGCTATAGGGGCGGGAGCTGGAGACAAGGGTTTATGGCAGAGAGTTGTAAGATTTGCTGGTGGGTCCTGACAGTCAAGGGTTCAGGAGTGGAAATACAAAATGGTTAACCTGGAGCAGTGTACCCACCTTGCGCGTGCTCCTGTAATGCGTAATGTAATGCCAAAGAGAAGCTAATACGTGGCGAAAGGACTGGGAATGGTTATAAAGCGATGATAGTCTCCTTTATTTTAAATTGAAGGTTTATAGTCAGTTGCATGTGGGCACTAGCACCAAATATATTACATACAGTTTATTTCTTTTTGTGAGTGTGTGTGTGTAAGAATTGTAAAATCTGTAAGTTTGTGGTTTCTTTGTTGTTAATTGCCACACTTAATGTGGCTTTCATCGGATGTTTGAAACAGTGAGCAAACTAATTTGGAGTAGAGCTGCTCGACTGGCTGCTTATTGAGGATTTTTATTTTCTCTAACCAGTTGTCATCTGCATGGCTTTTTGTGTTTTGTTTGTTTGTTTTCCGTTTTGGTTTTTTTTTTTTTTACTTTAGCTTATTTTGAGGTCTAGATACTTTATACTATTTCCTTCTTGTGTAGTTAATGTTCTTGGAAAATACACAATCATCTCTCTAAATGTTAATCTTAAAAAAAAGTCTTTAAATCAACAAACTGTTTTAGGTTCCTACCTACCATCTGATAGCTTGCATCTGCATCTTTTGGGAGAGGCAGAATGAGGAGTTATTGCTTAATCACTTAACACTGTTAATCTAGCTCATACTTTGAGTGTGTTTCTAGTAGCTGAATAATGGAATCTAAAGCAATATCCAATTTAAAGATTAGTGCCAGGGTATTGCTGCACAAAGTTGGCTATTTTTGGCATTCATGAAGCTAGATAAGGGCTTAGGTAGTGTGAACAGCGAATGTGTATTAATAATTGCACCCTTTTAGACATTTTACCGCTGTTAAAGGATTGTTGTAAAATTTGTAGGCCTGGAAATAGTCCTTGGGGGAGGAAAACCCCGGTATGGTAGGCAGAGTAACTTAAGCTGCACATGAGTGTATCTGTGTGCATATTTAAAATGTGCTGTCACGATACATCTTTCTGAACTGCTGTTCACGGTAATAACGTTTTAATAGTTTAAAACCACTTTAATACTTTACCATAATTGTGCAGTGACTTTCCTGGTACTTTACTTGCTCTGCTATTCTTGTAGAGTCATACTTGGTGGTGGTTGCTGTGCTTAGAGAAAGTTAAGAAACAGTGGCAACTGCTCAGTTGCCCTACAATTGGATCTTCCTGTGAGAAAGAAGAAAGGTCGTTTTTCTGAAGCAAAGCTCAGGAAGGAGCAAAAGAGTGGGAATGTTGTCAGGTGTGGTAGGGTGCGGGGAGTCACAAGGCAACTAAAATATTGTGCTGTAATTGAAAAACCGACTTTGCTGGCTCAGTCATCGCAGTGCAGCTGTGTCGGTGCTAGATGTCAGAAGAGCATCCGACGCGTGTTGCTGGGCTTTCTTTGGTGGCTGTTCTGTAACAGTGATCGTCCAACACGGGGGTTTGGGCGTACTTCAGCAGAATCAAGAATGGCTCTTTCTCTCCATAGATGTGACGCAGACCCCTCGGCCTTAGCCAACTATGTTGTGGCGTTAGTCAAGAAAGACAAACCAGAGAAAGAACTGAAAGCTTTCTGTGCTGATCAGCTGGATGTCTTTCTGCAAAAAGGTACTGTGCTCTCCACTATCTGTTCAGTGGTTTTCGTTTCACTGGGGGGAGGAGGAAGGATGATGCACCATTGTTGCCTTCAAAATACTTCTTGTTGTCTGTGAATTGAATATTTCTTACAGAGTGTGAAGGAATAAAGATCTTGTGATTTAAAAAAAAAAAAAAAAACCTTAAGATGAAGTTGTGTAACTTGGTCTTGTTCATGGTGGGCGGGAGGAAATCCTCTGAAATGCAAGCTGGCAATTTCATTTTGAAGTATTGGTCATGCTGCCAGAAGTTTCTGACAGACATTTGATAACTTTTGAAAACCTGATCCATATTAATCTTTCAGCCTTCTGGTGAGCTTCTCATTGCAATTTGGTTCAAATTCAAGGTTTTAAACGCTTGAAATTCTGACACTCACTGGGGAAGTTATTGTGTATTTTTTTGTGATATGATGTTAAACTGATGATTAGTCTTCTGTGAATGATTTACTCTCATAAAAATTGCCGTAAAGAGGCTGCTAACTGTAGCTAATGGAATAACTGCGGACTTATTCCTTGATCATAAGTTTCAGTCATGCTTGCCCCTTAGAACATTTCAATGTGTTTGAAGAAAAAGTCTGTTTGTCTTTGATACACCTGATTAATTTCTTTGTCTAAATAAACAACCTCAAGTTCCACAAACATAATGTCAGCTCCTTGAATGGAACTGATGTTCATTGCTCTAAGATGCTGCTGTGAGCAGTCCACCTGGGTGACTTGTTTCAGGGACTTCTCTGGTAAATCTAACAGCGCCCTTAAATCAATATGTAACAATATTTTCTTGTGTTCTGTATCCTCAGAAACTTCAGGTTTTGTAGATAAACTTTTTGAAAGTCTGTACACAAAGAGTTATCTTCCTTCTCTTGAACCCACGAAAGTAGAAGCCAAGCCTGCAGGTCAGGAAAAAGAAGAAGTCAAGGAGGAGGTAACATTATTTTTTTCTGTCTACCTGCCTCTAATTTTGAAATTAGCCATCCCATACATTTGTGAGGCAAAATGTGAAAGAAAAATCCACTTTACTGTGACTAATGATCTTCATGATCTCTGTGCATCTGAAGAAAAATGGAAGATGACCATTCAGACAAGAACATTTTAAAATCCCTTTGTAGAGTTTACCTTTGAGCTAGATTAATATCCTTCAGAAATCCTATTCAGACATCCCTGGCAATACGAGCTGATAATGATTTGGGTTTAAGAGGGGGGGAAGAAGGAAAAACATTCCAAAACATTTCCTTTTCCAATTTTGTATGTTCTGTGAGGAATAGAAATTATTTTAAATGTTTTCTGTAATAGTTAAAATCAGTGAAATATGGTGGCCTCTGTATTGAGGGATAATTACTTTTAAAAGTGAGGTAGCATTCATTTACCGATAGTTCGTTCTTTTATGTTGCTTTTAAGTTTTATTGACAAAATTATAAACAATCAAGTTTTTGAGAAAAGCGAAGTAATATTTCCATAGTTGTCTAAATCTCTTTGTATATTGCATAATCCTCTGCTATCACTTGTCTAAGATTGTTTTTTTTTCTCTCTCTCTCTCTCCTCCCTTCTAAGTTGATTTTTCCAAGGGAAGCACCCTCTTCTCTGTGTCTGTAGCATCCTAATGTACCAGCTTTGAGAGAGAGCTGGGGTGAAAATTGCTATAGAAGCAAACATTCTTTATTTCCATATATTCTGATCACAGTTTGCAAAGATACTTTAGGCTGAATATGTATTTTAATTACTATAGGAAAGATGCAAATAAAGCCAGAGAGTATATATGAAATTCTAGTCCTTTCCCCTCACTCCAGGGATGCTTGTCATGCAGTGTTAAGAGCAAAAACTGTTGCTCTTTTTATAAATGGACCATGGGGAGCGGTTTTTTTCTGACAAGTACTTTAAATGGGTACTCAGATTTATGCTTTTGTCTGGGAGCCTAAAATAGCATGAAGGAAAGACCTCGCTGGAGGTTTTTTTTTTCTGTCTTCAAAGTTAAAACTGGCTGATGGTCATGAAGGTGGCAAATCATTGCAGATCAAAATCTGTCAGTCAACCAAAACAAAGCTGTATTATATTGTGGAATGCAGGTCCTTATTTGACAGAATTTAAATTAAAGTTGCTATTTAGGGTTTTTTCTCTCTTTTCTGATGTCCCTTCTTTGAGGATGAGACCCAGAATTGTGACAATTTATGGAAGTATCTTTGGTGGTGGAAGTTCATAATTTGCAACTATACAAGACTTTCACTTTAAAAGTTTTCCGATCAGTTCTCAAAGTACTGTCATAATTTGTAAAAAGTGTTTTGGAACTACCTTCAGTTGACTTAACCAGTGCTCTGGTGCGGGGCAAGTGGGAGGGTTTGGGGATTTGGGGTGGGGGGGTCAGGGATAAGGCAAAGGAAGATATCTAGGACAGCTTTATGGGACTGCTTTACAGCATCACGGCGTTAATTAGTTATTTCAACATCAGTAAGGCCTTGATGATTTGTCATATAGCTCAGTGTATTACGTGATTCCTGCAAATGGAGGAGACAAAATAAAACAAGTGTAGTATGATAGCTAAGTCTAGGTTGGACCCCCAGATAGCGTGTGATACAACTTGTGTTGAAAGCAGGGCCTTAGGTTAGGCTGTCCAGAGCCCTGTCAAGCCCAGTCTTGAATATTTCTACCAATTCTCCCCAGATAATCCTAAACAAAGATGCAGGAAGCCTTCCTCTTTGTTTTGTTTTAATTGGAAAAAAATCTTTTAAACATTATTGCATGTAAACTTTTGCCACCAAAATTTACAGTAACTTCTAAGCAGTGTAAAATGGCAGCAAAGGCAGCAAAAGTAAAAAATGGGTTCAGAGCAATTTACAGTAGTGGTATAGCTGACAGACTTCTAGAACTGCTTTTGTTGAGGCCAGCAAGAGATGTGACTAGTTCAACCATGTGAACAGTTCTTTGTTTTTAAAGCATTTATTTCAAAGTGTAAACTAGTGCCATACCTACTTGGAGAAGTAACTCTCCCTAGTTGTGTTCCAGTTACAAGATTCAGAAAATACTTCATTTGTAGAATTCTGTACTGTGATTAACGAGACAGAGTGTGGATGGAGAACCTGTCTTTCACGAATCCTGTTTAAAAACAAAATATCAAAGTAGTTTTATTTTGGGGCATCTCCTCTGCAGAAAAACCTGAAAGATTTGAAACAAAAAGCCTAACAACCTCTAGCGCTTGATTACTTGTAGTGCTTAAGTATTCTGTGCAAGTAATACTTAAATATTGTTTTTATATGGGATGCTAACTGTAACTTGAACTAAATCTTGGTCTTATTTTCTTCATTTAAAAGAAAAGTGATACTTATCCTTGATTGGTAGTTGTCTCTTAAACAGAATTTTCAAGAGTCAGTTGAAGAAGAGCGGGATAGCAGGAAAAAGAAGTATTCCAGTCCACAGAGAAGCCGTGCAGATTCCAGTGAACAAAGGTTAGTTTTGAACCAAAATATTAATATATTCTTCTGTATTTGCTGGCGATCTTTAACTGTGGATTTTTTTCCTTGTGTGTAGTGATTTTTCACAAAAATAGTGATTTCCTCCCTACTTTTCTCTGTCTGCAATGTATTATCTGTATGCTGATCACATGCGTGAGAACCCTTCGCTAGAAGTTGGTCTCTTCTGACAAAATGACAGTATTTTTCAAATGTTAATACCTAGGAATGTCGTCAGTTCCATTCTTTCCCTTGTTATATAAATGAAAAGCATTGTTGTGGGGGGTTGTTCACACAGTGTCAACATCACTTTTAAAACGTGTTCTGTTTTGGTCATCTTAACTCTTTCACATTTCCAATTCTTCTTAGTCCTCCCCTTGCTGGTTTCTACAAATTAGCGATTATTCTGTATTTTTCTATGTAATTTGGGAAGTTCTGACTCGAATGTTTCACTGTCTAAATTGGATGGGAAGGATGAACAGCATCTTAACTTGTTGCAAGGGTTTTTTTTTTTTTTTATTTGGTTTCTCTTTTCATAAACATGGTCTGCATATGTCTTTTCTAGAACCAGAGAGAAAAAGAGAGATGATGGAAAATGGAGGGACTATGACAGATACTACGACAGGAGTGACTTGTACAGAGAGAAGTCTGGCTGGCGACGTGGCAGGAGTAAAAGTCGTAGCAAAAGCAGAGGGTTAAGCCGAAGTCGTAGCCGCAGTAGGGGTAGAAGCAAAGACCGTGATACAAACAGAAGTGTTGGTGAGTACCCGAGGTGCTGCTTTGGGAGAACATCTAATGTCAGTGATGTGTGGTGACTCCTACATACTGTATGGTCTAGCAGGCTGTAGGTGTCCTTGAGTAGTTGGAGCAGATTTTGAGAGCTTTGTGTTCCTGAAATTAGTAATTAAGATGCTGTTCTTCAGAGTAGAACAATTAAGGGAATTGTTTTCTTCTTTGCTAACCTCTTAATTTATCCACAGGTGTATACCAGTGGATATTGGTAGATGATATTTTTGTGCTCTGTGTTGACAAAGCTGTTGATTTTTTTTTTCTC